AGACCGTGTTAAACTGTCAATATTTCATAATTTTTTTCTCGAAAATTTCCCCTGGTGAAAAATCTGAAAAAATTCATGTGCACTCTTAAATATATATATATTTGTACGTATATTAAATGGGTATAAATGTTTTCATTTTTAAAACGGATCGACCTTGAAAAAGTTTTACTCACGTAATGAATTCTTGCTGCTCGGTGTGTGTAACGTATAGAGCGCTCGGGTTTCCTCATCTGCACATGACAATTTGAATGTAAATGCGTACATGATGGAAAGAAAAAATTTAAACTACCTTCAGTTTACAGCATGAGAACAATTCATACCATTTTTGTTTTTTTAAAAACATTTTTCTTATCCCAATAAATGGGTCGCAAAAAAGAATCAACATCTTTGTTTAAAAAGGACAATATACAAGTAATAAAACTAAAAAATGTAAAAGACGGTCACTTTGTGCCTTTTTTGTAGATTTTGCTTTTCAAGCCTTAAATATTATTTATCAGAAACGGATAATAATTTGCAATTCCTTTTAGATGATGCGGTTTTTATGAGTCACTTGATACGCATGTACCCCGGCAAATTATTTTCTTTGAAACTAGCTCCAATTGTAACTAAAAGCTTGTTTTTATATGAGAAGAATTTTTGCTGCCCAGGCGGTATTTCACATTTTTTCATATTGTTTGATAAGCATGTTTCTCATAGTACAGGTAAGGTAAAGCCATCTTTTTGGAAAGTTTCAAAAATTATGCCATTCCCCCCCCTCACGTTGAACAGCTAATAATAATAAAGTTCTTGAGATTTTTTGTAAAAAAATGAAATGTTACAATTTTTTTACCATCAAATTCCTAAATCAATGATAATTATTGTTGTTGTCTTATTATTGTTAAAAAAAAAAAAAATCGTGGAATGGTGTTTCAGATTGAGGGCATAATGAAATATATCTTCAAATATTTGATGTACCTCTACAAAACACGTAAACTTATTTGCATTACATATTTATGTTACAAAAAATATGTTAAAATTAGGAAATTTTTAAAAAAATGATACTTAAAAAGTGCCCTCATTTTTATGTTTTTGGCAATAATTAAATATTCTAAAATTTTGTCTTGCTATTTTTATTTCATACTACAATAACATGTAGGTATGCATAAGACATTCGAATATGTTTCACAAAAAATTGATGGAAAATTGATTTTGTAACCGTGAACTACCCAAGGCGAACGTGTCATGTATGGGTAGCTATTTGAACATGCAATTAGGAAATTAGGCCGCTAAAAATTTCGCTAAAAATGACCAGTAAAAAAAAAGTTATACATCCAATTATACAAGTATAAATAACGTGTATGTACACGAAAAAACCCGTACATTAACCCATTCCGTTTTCATTTAAAATTTCCAGGAGGATGAATTATTGAAAGCATTGAAAACTAACGAGTCGCTCCGCCTGACCTTCAATCTCCAGCTCACCGAAAGCACTTCGGTGGAATGGGAAACCGTAGTCTGGCGCGGCACCCTGTACATCCGGGTGCCTAGCTGCTTACTGCCCGAGGGCTCGAAGGAGGGCTTCGTCTCCCTGCTCGAGTACGCCGAGGAAACGCTGGGCTGCACCAACATCGTCGTCTGCCTGCGCAAGGATCGCGCCGACCGAGGTACAATATCAACAACCAACCTGCACCACCGTTCCACCCTCAATGAGGTCGGCTGCAGCCTCGACCCGAGTGCTGCAGATCACGGCTTCGTGCTTCCTCTGTTCGACCGAGCCGACCGTATCGCCTCGTCTCACTATGACTCCCCAAAACCGATCCCTCGCGCTAAGCGCGGCTTGACCAACACTCCACTAATAATTGACGCCCCGTCGTCGCCGTCTTATGCTTCATGTTTCTTCGGCGCCCCGTCTTCGGCAAACTTAGCCATGCTGGTGCGCACCTTCATGTTTCTGGGCTTTTCCGTCTTACCGCCTGATCACCAGCTGGTACCCCCGGGCAGCGACACCGGTAACCTCTACATGCTCTACGCCATCGAGTAGTCGGACCAGGAGCCCAGGCCTCCTCAGGGTGCAGTGGCTGTCGCTGGCTCTTAAATATCTACTATCGTCATCGCCGTCCTCGTCGTCCTCCTGTGTTGGGCGTCTCCTGATTTGTTGGGGGATCTTACTTACGATGATGATGATGAGGCGGTGATTTGACCGGCCGGCGTGCGGGCTGCAGCAGCCGAGAGAGGCAGCAGCCTCTTTTATTTAACGCATAGGTACATTTATTTATATAGGAAATGGCAGGCTGTGCTATGTTCATTTATTTCTATGCTTTTTTAACATATAATCGTTTTGTTTTTATGCAACAATTCACTTACGTACCGACTGTATGATGAAAATAGTTGTCCAATAGATTGAACTTTATAGGCTGGGTAATAGTCAGCGCCATTCTGATTTAACATGTCAGCTAATGGAATTTTACCATCGGCACCCGTTGTCCTTACGGTGGTTATATTCCATAAGCTTACGTGTTCAATTGGAGTGGCGCTGACTGTTGGGAGCACCCAGCCTATTACAGAAGTGTCCTGTTTTATGTGCCTCAGTTTATAAATAATAACCAAAACAGCTACTTTCCCTGTCTAATTACTAAAGTGGTAAGATTTCATCACGTAATTTTTTAATGATATTACGCGATGATCACGTCTGTATTGGGATTATGCCTTACCACTTGACCTTAGTATATATATGACTAATATAGAGGAGAAATAACACAGGTCTTATGGGAGGAATCTTGTTTTTTTTTCTTTTTCGCACTTAAAAAGATATTGAGCTTGAAAAGGTTGTTAAGGAGGTTTGGGAGTATCATTCAGAGAGGCGAGGAACAGGGAGTCCCCCCTGCCCGCGCAGATGTACCCCCTTTACCGCGCACCTCCTCTTGCACTCTACAAACTTGAATCTGTACGACTGTAACTGCTTATATTTTTGAAAAATGCCTGGCAAGGCTTGATTTTTTTTGTCGAGCATCTTCTTTTTACACCAAGTTATATATGAAAACGTTTTTTTTTTATTCCAACACATTTAGAATATACCGTAATTTCAATTAAAAGGCAAACCTAACCTTGTTCTCTCATAAGAGACCGTGTTAAACTGTCAATATTTCATAATTTTTTTCTCGAAAATTTCCCCTGGTGAAAAATCTGAAAAAATTCATGTGCACTCTTAACATGCTCAAATATAACATACATTTTTTTGGCACATTTCTCCATTTTTAACTTTTCTCCCAAACCTCCTTAATTCCATGTTACTGACATTATGAGAGTTACGTAGTTATTTTTTCCTTTGGTGAATTCGTTTATGAAGGTTGAAACAGCGTTTTGAACGTATACGGAATGCCGTTAACCCTACTTTGTAGCGCTACTGCTGCTTCTGCTGCTGGTGCTCAGAAGTAAACAAATAGCTCAAAGTAGGGTTAACGGCACTCCGTATACGTTCAAAACGCTGTTTCAACCTTCATAAACGAATTCACCAAAGGAAAAAAATAACTACGTAACTCCCATTATGTCAGTAACATGGAATTAACAACCTTTTTAAGCTCAATATCTTTTTAAGTGCGAAAAAAAAAAATAAAAACAAGATTCCTCCCATAAGACCTATGTTATTTATCCTCTATATTAGTCATATATATACTGAGGTCACGTGGTAGAGGCATAATCCCAATTGGCTAAATATTAACAAGTGATAAAATCACGTGTCGAAATCATGGCATTGGACTAAACTATTATATGAGAATGTTGAAGTACCCCATATTTCCCGCGAGATGCATCCGCGTTGATAGGGAAGACTCATACCATATGGTATGTTGATGCAAATCTATTTTTTTACCTTATCAACGCCGGTATTCTTAGCAGGAAAATATTTGGGGTGAAACGAAATTGTCTATTAGCCTAATACAACAGCTCATTGTTTGTTAGATAAAGTAACAGTCGGTACGTATCCATCCTCATGGAACCTTATTTTTATTACGCATCACATCATTTTGTTTTGCAGGTTTTATTTGCATCATCCAGTCACGAAACTTGTCACATGCGCACCAAAACTGCTCCATCCACCGAGTTGCATGAGATTAACAACCGTGGAAGTTTATCATAACTCCTGATTCTCGTGATTCATAAAAAAAAAAAAAATTAATTTTGCTGCACGCGCCGATAGCTGCAGTTTCTCCAGTTTAAGCGAGGGATTTGCTAAGCAGCACTTTATTCAATTTTTTCTCAAAAGTCCATTTTTTTTATGTTAGGTTATGTATATTTGCAAAAGCAATGAATATTCAACACGTGTTACAAACTAAAACCTAAGCGTTAAATTTTAGGGTTAAAGCGGGTCTTGGAGGCAGGTAGTCGCTTTTAAGAAAAACAAGAGGAACGAAATAAATTTAATCGTAGATCGTGTAAAAGCAGCTGCTTAGGCAGAAAACCGAGATTAATTCATTCTCTTGAAACACAATGTTAAGATTTATCTCGTAAGATATAAAGTGCTCACAAAAAAAGCTTATCCTACACGTTTTTTAAAGAGGTTCGGTGACCGAACGTTCGTCAAATTCCATCTTGAAAGACCGCCCGGTCCCCGGATCGCTGAGAAAGTTTATTACCGATAAAGCTCCATGTTAATTTTGTGGCAGATTGGGCATAACCTTGATAGATTATATATATATATATAAAATTTAAGGATAAGATCGAACATTAAGTTTAAAGGTGTTGATATAATTATTTGGAAATCGATGGCATTATACATTTCAAGTTTAAGCGTAAATCTGTGTAATGAAGTACTCGGAAAAGCCACTGGAAAGTAGATTCCCGGAGCACTAGTTTTTTTTTTATTTTACTGAAAAATCTATACCCAAGAAGACTTGATCGACTGGTGTGTGCTTTAAGAGCGCGACGAATTTAATTTTACAATAGCGTGTGCAATATTGAACTATTTACTATGCAGAACCTGCTAACCTGACTGTGCTGTACTTAATACTGTTACTGATGTCGCTCATTTTTTTTTTTTTTTTCCCGTTACTTTCGTGTCGAAAAACATTGATTTCATGTATTAATATCTAGTTTTTACGTCAAAAAAAAAACAGTTTCGACAGAACTTGAACATTCAGTAATCAGTTACAAAAATCATTAAGTATTAACGATAACTTTTTTTTTTTTTTTTTTTTTGTTACATATAACAAAAGGCAGCACTACGCAATAAGATTTTAGGTTTTTAAAAATTTGCAACGATCTTAGCGAGATGTTAAATCTTGCAAATTTTAATAACTTGATGTTAAGCAGGTTAACTGTTTTGTTTTTTCTATCTAATGCTACACTTATTCCTTGCTAATAATGCTGTCATATTAACTAGAACGATTTTTATACTTCTTTGTAAGTATTTACTTATTGTTATTAATTTACTTATTAATTATTATTATTATTATTATTATTATTATTATTATTATTATTATTA